ACGACAATTTAAAAGATCGAAACCTAAATGAAGTTCTTTCTAGCACACGACCATTAAAAGATCCATACCTACATAATACACAATGATTGATGACAAGGTTATTAACATCGGTCTATATGAATCGTGTGATTTTCATATGGACCGATAAAAAATAAACCTTGTCAAAAAAGCACGGGTTGTTACATAGTACCCATGGGATAAATTCAATTGTCAATTCAATGTGCTATAATGTTACGCATTATTTTCAATTTATGTATTCATTAAAATATATATTAAAACATTTCTAGCACAAAATACTCAAGAACGTTTACTCCATAATAGAACGACCAATTTACAATATTCTAATCTAGAATATTCAAAATTATTTCATTTGTTAACCAAACAATGTAATAATAAAAAACATCGGATGATAAAATTTAATTATCTGTAGCTGAGTAATTCGTGAATTTTAAAAGGTTTGTCGTAGAATCGCATGTCTCTCACTTCCGTATTTGTATAATTCATTACAGCTGTTTTCATAAATTCTGGGACATCTGGCAAAAAAATTGGCCGACCGAATATTTGCCGGTTCGATAAGTTTTTGATTCGGCAGTGATAAACTTCTGATTCGGGTGTGATTAATAATAAATATTCAATTTTTTTAAAACATAGCGATAGTAGTTTTCGTTTGAACGCATGTCCAGTATGTTTGGTGTGTCTAGTCTGTACGGAAACTTATGGCGAAGATTGTTCTTGCCAACCAACAGATCTTAATAAAAAAAACATAAAAAAAGGTTTCGAATATAAGATCAAGAATTTATTGACTGGATTAAAATAAAAAACATAAAAAAAGGTTTCGAATATAAGATCAAGAATTTATTGACTGGATTAAAAAAAATATCACAAGTTATAATTCCAAACAACCAAAATTTTATTAATCTTTGTCAAAACTGCGTTGAGAATTATAATAAACAAAATCAAAGTAAAAAATTTATATATTATATTTATATTATTTCAAAAATTTAATTTATAACAATAATCAAAAATATAGATCAAAAAGAAAATCAACATGAATTAGACGAAAGTATTGAAATGATAGATTTAACAGCTAAAGAGCCTTTAGTTTGTTCATCCATAACAAATATTTTAAAATCGTCTAACTTGTCTGAAATAATCGCAATCGAATCTGAAATACCCGACTTGCCTGAAGCAATAGAAGCTGAATCTGCAGCAATCGAATCTAATATAACGTTCAATATAGCAGCAACCAAATCTAATACAATATCCAATGTAACAGCAACCGAATCTAATATAATGTCCAATGTAACAATAACTGAATCTGATGTAACAATAACAACGCAACCAGTAACAAAAGATCCATTTAAAAGTGGTAAAATAGTTATAATTATCATATATATTTATGGTTACGTCTCGTTCCCCAAAAACTATTCTCCGACATGTCATTTACTCTGTGTAGGGTGACAATTAGCTAATAATATATTTATAGTAGAGTGTCCAGGGGACTGCTGCCCTAACCGACAAATTCTGCTGCAATCTCCCCTATACTATTGCGTGATTCTTCGTCACGCGTAACGCTTTTTTTTTTTAATTTTAACAGACGCCCCGAGTA